TAAGCACTCGGTGCTACATGTAAGTATATATAAGTATAACATAGGTTGTAGGCGTTGTATATATATATCGTTCGTGTATCGGGGAGTTGTGCAATTATTATCTCCGCGCAGATATTTTATATTGTTTGCGGCACTGCCGCCATTGTACTTACGAGCTGCGTGTTACCCAACGATATTGTATTCGTTTTTGCAGCGGCTATGTTGTACATACACAATCTTGCGCATGTATACCTATGGGCAATAAGTATTATTATATATCTATAATATATAATATATATATTATAATATGCGAATGTGCCCTCGCCCTGTACGGTCGGTCCCGTATAAACGTAACTATACATAGTATAGGCAGCTTAGCATCTATATTATACTTTAACATTGTGACCATACACCGAACAACCATAGTATGTAATATTAATATTGTATATCACAAGTTGGTTATTTTATCAGAGGTGGATCAAAATTTTGATGGGTACCTAACCTATGCACCAGTCGACCGATCATTGTACGATTTAAATGCTTATAATTAACTAACCGTGTTGTTAAGGGTACTTAATTTTTGTGTTAAGATATTCTACTTAGGAATATAAAATCAAATATTTGTATTTTGTTGCTAAAAAATTAATAGTTTTACCGGGAAGAGGACAGTAGGTGATAAAAGAATAATAAAGTCGTAGGAACCTAGCGCTCAATGATGAAAAGTCGGAATTCGTGATCAGTGTTAGTGTGTGTTGCCTATAACACACATCTATGTATAATATTGTATCAACAGCTATGTCACTGACGCTGTATATTACGTCGCCATTTCATATGTTAAGGTACCTACAGCATATAGGTATTAGGTACCTATATACCTACCACGACTTCGATAAAAATAATAACTACGAGTCACACGGACAAACTGTAAAGATTTTCGCACGACATTTTAAATCGTATATATGTAAGATAATATGTAATACTATATAATTGGTAATGGTACTGCGCCATCTTTCACACGCATGCCCGTCGTTTAAATCGTTTAATGCATGAAGTCTATAATACGCGTAAATAATTGGTCGAGAGTGTTTCAAGCGTATATAGCACTAACACGGTTTTTTGGTCGAAAAGTTTTGAGTGAACGCGAATGTGAATTAATCGCTAACATAATATACCTATATTATGTAGACATATATTATCATTGCACTGTCGGGAACTCGCGCGACGACTTCGAACCGTGGTTTGTATCGAATCCGATGTATAGAAAGCTTAAAGTGAAAGGATTCAAGCAATGACGGATTGATGGTGCAGCCTCATCTCTAATAATACATAATGATATCAGAATAGAAACACACGGAACGGGTCAAAGTTTACGCATGACTGAACAATATGGGTTCAACTTCTATAATACATAGGTATACCTATCCGGGTACTGTACCCATGTGACGCGAATGCATCTGTACAGTAAACGTAGTTGCGCATATTATTTTCAAGGGTTGGCGATGGTATATATGTGCAATACTATTGTAAAATTATAATGATATAGGTAGGTACCCAAAACCCACTTCTATATGCGTCATATGTGCTAAACACTTTTTACATATTATATTACACTCAGTCTCTGTGTGAGCCACTATGCAAATAAAATAGTATAATAATGATTTAATATAATATAATAAAATAGATACAACACAATAGTATAATATTTCATACACCTATGGGTATATTTTTATGGGAAGGTGTAATACGCAAATGTAATTAGATATAATAATATAAACTAATAAAATTAATGTGCTCTGATGATTTCCTGGTATTTTATTATTATAATATATTCTATTTTCCGATTTTGATGCTTTCTGTTCAACACAAAAGGTCAACACGAACGTTAATAGTATAATAATTTATCGATCAAGAGTACGAATGTGGAACTAAATATGGACGAGTTATAAAACTACTGCAATTATAGGTATATATAATATACCTACTTATATAATATATATATATCGTAAATTGTTCATGATACATTTCTTTGTAAATTTATAAAAATAAAATGAAAGCCAGGAAGCACCTTGATCTAAGCTCTAGAAGCCCAATAACCTTGAGACAAATATTTTTTATTTGTTGCAGGGGCGTTATTACATTGTATTACTTCCATGTTATATTCTTATAAAAAACTTGAATTCGTATCGATTTAAATTAACTTTGTTTTATCGATCATAACAACACGACAGCATTTTTTTATATATCTATATTATTTATGTATATTGTATATGAAAAGTAAAGACTATCAGTAGCTTAATGATCCGCAATAACGATTAGAAAAACAATATAAAATACAAATTATCAAATGTGGTGAACCGATGCTCATTAATCGATTTGAATGGTAGGTATTCAATCATCATGATGGTTATCAGTTAGTTTTATTTTTCTTCTTATTTTCTTTATTATTATTATTTTTTTTAAAAACATAACGATGTTTAAATTTCATTATTTAATTCAAGTTTATATAATTACATAATCTATAGATCGGAAAAGAATAGAGTTCGGAAATTATAACTAATTAATAATTATATTAGCTTTTTTTCTAACTGCAAGTATATTATGTATTGAGTCCACAGGGGTCCACTATTATTTACGAATTCGATGTTTTACCAACGTGCTAATACGTATATAGTTGTAACTTATAACTTATAAAAGAATAGAAAAAACAAGGTGACATCGTATACTGCTTATTATAATTGACACAATGAAAGAAAACACAACTTTAGATTGTAATGAACACAATATTTATAGCATGGTTGATTATATAGTTAACACCCATCAATGTTTTATACAAGCATGGGTTATATGCATTTCAACGATAAACATTATACCAATAATAATATATTCTTATCGTGTTTTATGTTGGAACACGAATATTACTCCGGCATCATATATTATACAATGCATATTATATGGTCATTTTCGTTAATGCCAACGATTATTCGATTGCGATAAATAAACTGATAATGTATTTTGTACATCAGGCGTAAATCGAAAAAAAACTTGGTAAATATCCAAAAATATTGCGCATATTTTCTCTGTGTAGCTATTATATGGGTATCATTATGACGTGGTCAAAATGTTAAACAGTGCGTAATCGTATTGTTTTTTTCACTTTTATCCAAACATCATACTCTCATACTCGACATAATTGAATAAATAATTAAACGAATACGTTTGTGTAATGTATGATATAATATATTGTATACACGTAAATACCTAGGTACTTATGAAAGCTTTGGTCGATATTCAATTATTAAATAATTATATCAGAAATTATTGACTGATTGTGTGAGTGACGTGTGGTAGACTTTTGATAACAAAATATACAATAACTATGAGAATGAGAAAATATGTTTATTTTTTTTTTTATTAGAAACTTTCACTACCTACATATTATAAGTCAGAAGATTTGATTGTGTCTATTATTATAATTATATGGGTACCCGAATATTACGAGAAATGCTTCCGGCGTTTTTTTTTTCTTAAAAACAACCCCAGAATGTTCCTAATAATTCAATAGATGTCGTGAATAATAATTTATTGTCTACGTCGGTCGTTGGGTTACATTAGAATAATCTCACCGATTTTTATTCACGTTCATTATCATAGAGCACTCAGCACCAATATAATAACTGAAAAAACTTCGTACAATAGAACAACTTTCAAATCATAAAATAAATCTTATATGCTATTATAATTATTTATAATCACTGTGTGTTTATAACATTCGTAATATGACCATTGTCCATTCAATATTTGAAAAAATTCAAGTAGGTATCTAACTAACGCTGTTTGTGAGTGTGTTTTAAGAGAAACGATTTAAAAAGAAATCCCCTAAGCTAAAGTATATTGTTATATGGCCATATGGGAATTGGTGAAGATTGATCCATCTGTTTTTAATGCACACTGGGCAGTAAAGAGTCACTGAAGCTATAAAGTAAAACATGTTAGTACCTCTCATAAAATATTATTTAATGATAAATTCGTAATAAATTGATATTTGATAAATAATACGATAAAATATGTAAATTAGTGAAAATGGGAGTTGTGAATCAAGGTTTATAATATTTTTTATTTTTACTACCTATGGCAAGTAGTAGTTGTCAGACTGTCAGTTATTGGATTTTAATTATGTATGCACATGACTACTATTAGAAATTATAACAAACTTATATTTTGCTAGTTTAATGGAAAAAGTTAGATTTCAACTTCTTTAATGCTTACTATACACCATTAGTTCTCAACCTTTTTTATTCTATGCTTTCTTGCAAATTTTAAAAATTATCCAGCCCCCTCCCCTTAAATTACAGTTTAGACTTAAGACTACTTTTATTTAATTTTACTGATGTAGAATAACTATATATTATACTATATAATTACACTTTGTACCTATTAATATTATATCACCTATAATCATCATGAAATACTAGTATAAAATACCGCCTGAAAATTAATTTATTGTTTAGTGATTTCAATTTTACTGATTGTAAAATGGCATAATTATTTTAACAATGAAATTCTCATTACTGCTATACATGCATTCGTTTTCACGTAAAAAACATGGAAAGTAAATCTGTCATATCTCGTATCTGGCTTTACATATTTAATGTTGATAAATGTTAACCTCTAAAAAATTGCAGATGCATTAAAAAAATTATATAAATACAAAATGTATTAGTAATTATTAGTGATTACTAATAAGTTTAAAAATAATTTTTAAAGTGAATTTTGTTATTCATAAGGTTTAAAATGATTAATGCTACCTACTGATTATTGTAATTAATTGCAAATATAATTTTAAATTTAAAGTACCTAGATGCTTACTGCTTAGTACTGCTTACTGCTAGGGAAAATCCTGTTCAGTATTTATTTAATTCGTAGATAATTAATAACTGAATTAATTTTAAAAAATATACTAAAATAAAAGGTAACTCAAAAAATGAAAAAGAAATCAATTATTTACCAGGATATAAATTATATCATTAAAATGATTAGATATTTATGTTATTATTATTAAGCATTCCTGACTAAGGTAGTAAGGTCAATCAAAATTATTGGTTAATACTATAAGTAAACAGTATTTAAACAACGAATAATTAAATATTTCATTTACATACCCATACGCACGTATACTCATAATAAACCTAAATAATATGTATGTTTTCAATCGATTACCCATATGATTAGGTTATTATATTAATTAGCCACAAATAAAATATATTCATCAACACTTGTATGTATTTACATGTTACCATTTGTTTTGTCAACATAAATATAAATATATAATAATATGTTAAATGAATAAAATTTTAAGCAGAAAATTAAATAGTTTGTTGTATTCAAATTGTAACGTTAGGGTTCTTTTAAATTTTAAACATTTTTTAAAACTATAATATTAATACCAATACTACTACCTATACTGGCTATACTAACTACTACACTAAATACACTAATTTAAATATATACCTAGTAAAGATGACACGTTGTGCAGTAGTCCCACTATCTTTTAACTGGACGTTTTGGTACAAAGAGAAGTGCACAGAGGACGAAGATTGGAGAACAAACTTCCAGAAGTTATTCGAAGTATCGACGGCTACGCAATTTATCGAGGCCTACAATTTAACAAAACTGCCCTCAGGCTTGCCACTAGGGGCCAGTTATTATTTTTTTAAAAAGGGAATACAGCCTATGTGGGAAGAAGAACCGAATAAAGGTGCGGGAGCGTGGATCATTGAGGTCGAAAATCAAATGAATAATGATTTGAACTTGATTTGGTCAGATTTGTTGTTTACACTTATCAGTGGCGGGTTTAAAGAATTGTCGTGTTATTTATGTGGTATCACGTGTTACGCGAAACACAAAACATTTCAAAAAGTTACAATATGGACAGTTAAGACTACGCCAGAAAATTATGAACATATAATGAAGATTGGAAAAATTCTGCAAACCCTCAAATTAAACGTTTACGAAATAAAATCATTAAAATATAAATTACATAATAGATTTTCAAATAATTTTGACTATGTGTTATAAATTTTAAGATTGTGTACTAAATACAAATATGTTTTGAGCTCATTTGGACTCGAAACATCTTTAAGCTTTAATTTATTGAAATTTATTTTATTTTGTTAACGAAACTACAACATATTAATATAAATTTTGTATTAATTGGAAATATTATTATTTTTGTCAGTCTACATTGTTATACAAACATTCATTAAGCAGATATAGCTATAAATCTACTTATTTAATATGTTTATGAAGTTTCATAGCACTATTCATTATTATCATCACAAAAAAAAAAACATTTTGGAGGATTACATTTGTACCAAAAAAAAAAAAAAATGCATAATTTTAAAGTTTAATGTACCTATTTACCTATTCTTAATAGGTGTAGGTACCTAACTGCAGACGTATTTTAAACAAAATAAATAAAATATAGTGAAAACAAAATATACTATAATACTTTCATACAATTGAAAATAGAAAAATTTGTTGAATTTCATCACAACTACCTATAAAATAAAAAAAATTGCATCAGCATATTTATGAAGATATGCGAATAACAACATTAAAAAAAATTTAAGTAACTTATTGAAGATAATTTAAATTTGTATGAATTTGTCAGTTGTTATAACTAACAATATTATGTAGTAGGTATACCCATATACATTTCTAACTGACGGTGTGCAACTTGACTTCTTATTTTCAAATACCTAACATCATATAAGTGGGTCGTGAGTGTATTTGTTCAGTACATATCTCTAGTTTAGATAAGTAGATCTTATTTCACTTATTAGTGCTAGGTTAGTGTATTGGTTGTTTTTTGTTTTTATTTTTTTTTGGGGGAGGGGGGGATAGAAAAGGTTTAATGATATTTTCTAGTTGTTATAGGGTTGGCTCGTTAGGATGCAAGTACTCATATGTATGTAGTACTCAGTTCACAAAAAATAGGCTCTGTATTTTATTAGAAAATAAAATGTTTCTTTTGACTGTATAATATATTGCTATATATTAGGTAGGTATGTGGATGTATAGGCATATATACACTACCTAGGTATATTATAATACATTTATACGTACCCACAGGCTACAGTATACCTGTGCTATTTTAATGATTGTCCATTAATAAAATGTTCACTATAGTGAAATACAATAAATACAAATGATTTTATAATAACATTCTTGTGGTTGCCTTTATATTAAATAAAGTATAACGCCGAAAAAATTGGATATAACTAATTATGTTTTTACTTTTTTGTTCTACAGAACTGCTGCACACACATAGCATTCACAATGCATAGAAATCATTTGCTATTTTCACTCTTCGGTCTTTTAGCCGTTGCATGTGCCTTGCCGAACGACAGGAGGCCATTCGTTCGAGTTATAACTGAACCGAAACCAGGAGAAGAATATGTTAGCATTCACACTGGAATGCCTTCGTCGGCCATCCAAGGCAGACATTTGGGTATGAAATTGTTGATTTTTAAGCAAATATAATTTTTTTAAAAAACATAAAAACTAGCACTTGAAAATCATTAAATATTATACTGTATCGAGATTTTCATTACAGAGAGCGATATGGATGTGAAAATCCTCGACGAAGGACAAACGGGTATAAAAGAAGTCGCTGGTTCCGTGCCATTGGAAGAAAAAATTTACGCGGTATGTACTCACCGATGTACCTTCTCAGAGATAAATACATTTTAAAATATGCTTACCGCGGGGCACGTGGGTCATAAAAATAATCATTATAATAACACGGGTCAGCAATTAGATAATAAAAGAAAATATTATTATGTTTGCCGCGTAATGATTTTATGTAATGATTTTATTATTGCGGCAAATTGCAAACTTATTTTAACACTGACTGCAAACATACATCAAACGTTATAGCGTTATAAAGGTCTAGCTATGATTACCTCTAGGTACTCTACCTACCGGCTATCGCTATAATTATATTATACAATGAATAAAAATAAAGTTCACAATTGTTTCGAAACGGCTGTTTCATCTGGTGACTGGCGTAAAATTATTTTGGAGGTTCTCGTGTTGAGTTATACCTATTTCATACAATTTCAATGAGATCTTGTAAAGCAAAGGTACCCAATAGATTTAAATTTAATTTTAGATTCTGGGAGGAGTGATGGATGTACCCGTTCATTTTACAACGATGTGTTTTTTATGTCTGAAAACACATATTCTAATATTGTAAAAATGCTTAGATTTTAAAGTTTGAGGGTGGTTGTTGATTTGGGGCCCAATCGTAGTTAAACATAATTAAGTACCTACCTAATATATGTTTCTTATTTAGCATAAAAAATTGTATCCATCCAACGAAGATGGACAAAGAAGATCAAAGGCGGAAAAAAAATATGCAGCGCCAGTTGATACAGATGATGTTTCTCCCGACAGCTTTGTCGCAAAGCCGAACAAATTAAAGTAGGTCGATCGAGTAGGTACCTCAACCAATATTGTTTATTAAAATGTATTTTGTTAGGAATAAGAGGGAAGAAGAGATCATCACTCAGAGCCCTTCAAAAGTTCAAGACAAAATGAGAAACAACAACAAAGAAGACGACGGCTTGTTTGACTTCGTGGATTCCCCGTACGGGAACCAACCAATCGTTGGTTCAGCTTCTTCTCAGGCGTCCCGGGTAAATATCAAAAAAGCACCAAACGGCCAAGAATACGAATATGAGTACGTCTATTACTATTACGACGAAGATGAAGAACACGCGAAACCCGGTTCCAAAAGTAATTATTAAAATATAGTATAATAATTTATGACCACGATTTTTGGGCTCTGAAAGCTAAAACAAAATTTGTTTTAAATTACAGCTAGTCAGAGCTCATCAAATACGCCACCAACCAGTTCAAAACCCAACAAAGATGTCAAAGAAAACAACAGCAAATCAAAGAAACCTTCAGTTGTACAAGATGAAAATCAATTTGTACAAAATACCAACAAGGGCAGGTTGGTGCCAATCATTCACAATTACATATATGATATATACATTATACAACAATAAATTTATTTAAATAATGGTATTATTGTCAAAAGATACAGACCCATAATATCCAGGCAATCTAGGGTATTTTAATTGAATATTATAATATAGGGTGTTATACTTCAAATGCAGTAAAATCACTCAAAATTCAAAATGTATTTAAAAGTTACTATCATTGTTGTTTGTAAATTGCAATTCTTATGAATTATAATAAGTTTACATTTAGCTGACTAATAAACTAAAAATGCTGATCATTGCAGGTTGCAACATCGAGAATAAGATTTTTAGATTGACATAAAAATTTAAAAAAAATTAGTTTTTTTTAAATATGGGTATTGGGTAAGGGATTTAGATGAGCATTTAAAAAAATATGTTTATACTCTGTTCAGAGTAAGAATGCAGCAAGGGACTGGCAAAATCTGGTTTTAGTTTGCGCATATGGTTTACTCCACAGACCATTGCTGTTGATACTGTGCGTCCTGATGTATGAACAAGCACAGTCTGTTCTTATTCTGAATAGAGTACCTATAGTAGCAATTATGTTTAAATCTTAAGTTGGTAAACATACCTAGATGGTTAAATGTGTTTTGAATTCTTTCTAAATAATTCTTTCCCCAAGAGAAAATTAATATTTTTTTTTATTGCTATTCTTAAATGCAATAAATACAAATACAGTTCATAAAAAAACATTATTAAGAGTTTTCTGAATAATAGTCAAGTCTTTTTTTAATTTTCAAAATATACAATTCAGTTTAAATCTGAAATAACATCATTTAATTTAATTCAAATTTCAGGTTTTCTGTAGATCATACTGTTACTACAGAAGAACCTGAAGGACATGCCAACTTTGCAGTTAATGATATCGCTGAACACAATAGTAAAACAAAGTAAGTACCTATCATAATTACAAAATGTATAGTACTATGCAATAAAGTAATAACAAAATATTTATACATTCCTACTTAAACCCGCAGTATAATCAAATAATTTGGGATTATAAATTTTGCCATTTTTATCTAATGTATAGTGAAACCATTTCCCTTTGACTTTCAATGGTATACTTTGACCACTCGAATTTCTCCCAACCGCACAGCTAACCTGAAACAATATAATTTTATAGTATATTAAAGATAAACATAATAGTATACAAAATAAAATCAATACTCTAATAGAAAATACATTTAACTACTAGATTTAAAACTGTTTAAGTATATACCAAATAGAAAATAGTATTATTGAAAAATGTACTTACTGTTTCAAGAGGTATGGTTGTTGTTATATTTCTATTGAAAAAACCAAAAGATGTTATACTCAAACGATCGCCTCCTTTACACAAAACCAACATTTTCACAGATTTCATAGTGTAGACAGAGCATATAGCTATTAACATTGTACCTTTAAACATGTCAATATTTTAATTTCATTGTTTTTAAATTAATGAGAATTTAATCAATTTATAAGCCATTTCTTACCCATACATAAACAGGCTATGGGAATGCCTAGTGTTGCTATTTTTCCTCGAGATTTGATTTTATCTACCCACGATATTGGCTGATGGTTTACATTATTGTCAGGCTCTTTATTCAATAAGACATTGTAAGAATCTGCTACTGTAAGCCAAAAACCAAACTGAACTATAGAAAACACGCTGATCATTTTGTATGTTTTGTCGCTAGATGATTTGTATAGAATTACATCCTTCGGAACATTAGTATTTAAATTAAATATCGATTGTTCATTGAAGTGTCTCTTATTGAAATATTTAAATTTGTCCAATTGATTTTTGTGCAATATATCGAAAGTGTTAAACGTTCGATTGAACGTAACACATCGTAGACAAGGTAAAAAATTTAATACTCGTTGAAACGTCATTAGTATCGGAAATTAATTAAACAGTAGTGACTACACGATGTATACTGTTCTAAATAAAAATACAAAATATAAATTAACAAGCTACAATAGAAAACACGCAGACATAAAAATATAAAATTATTTGTCGATATCAGTGATATCAGTGAAACAACACTTGCTTTTCTTATCACTTTTGAATATCAGATTGATATTAGACGAAAATAAATTTTATTGTAATGTTGGTACGTCTTGTAATTTATGGTTTGTAGTTTTGTACCACGATTAAAGATATAACTAGTCTTCACGACAAGACGTCTTGAAAGCCGAAGGTCGTTTAGTGCTACTTTTTGATGTTAAATTAACACAAAAAATAAAATACACTCTCAAATTGAATATCATATTATGGCTTTATTTAAAACCAATATAATCAACGATATGCCGATATAATTAAGTACAAAATATGGTAAGTTCGGTTAAAATTTTAAATCCTAGGCTGTTATGTACCTACAGGCGGCCAAAAGTTTATTCGACTACCTATATAACTCATGATTAATATGTAGATAGGTATTGCAATGACTGAATCGCGAATCACAACAAAAATTCAATAATAAAAGTATCAATATTTTTGTATTTACCTATACCGGCTGGCTATATGCAATACGCATACGCTTTCTTTTTTTCTGAACTGCTTTAAGCATAATAATTTAATAGGTTTATATACATTTTTATTTGTCATAGTTTATTATTACACATTTTTACTGTAGCTTATAGGTAAATAGAATATAGATCGGTTTTTTTTTTACTTAATCAAATTCTTTCATTAACTTAATAATTATCATCATAATATAGTATGTATACCTAGGTATTTCGTTTCAAGCTATGGTATAACTATAATATGTACCTATTTAGTATTTATAGAGATTAACCACTTTAAACTGCGTATTCAATTCATATTTCTAGTGTTCAATCATGATTAAAGTAGGACTTTAGTACCTATGACTTCAAATTACACAATTATGAAATTGAGACTATATATCTATTATATATATATTATCGGAGCTCCTCCTAATTCATAGGATAGTAGTTTTGTAGTAATTCAACTTAATGTATCATATAATATTATTCAATAGTCCTTAATAATGGTTTTATTTTATAGTTTTACATAAAATATAAAATGTTCTCTCATGCTGTACAAGTGAATTCTACGATCAAATTAACAATTTACAATTAAAATTAGTGGATCACATTAGACAAAAAGAAATTTTTGAACCTATTTGAAAATACGGTCTGTATTCTTTCACTATTTCAGTTGGTGGGTTATTTCTTACCTATGTTTAAAAATTTTAAAAATTAGAATTTGAATGATTGAATTTATTAGGAAAAATGAGGGTTAAATGGGGGGGGGGGGGGGTAACAATATGAGCATGTTTGGTGAATCATCACAATGCATAATTCTATATATTTTCTACAACTAATTTTAAACTAGTTGAAAGTTTTTAAAATATAGTTTTGGTAAAGGATGGTTGTATTATAATCTATCGAATTATATAGAAGTATACAATATATATTATATTTTAACATATTTTGTTTAGGGAATCTGGGCGTAATCTCGAAGAAGCTCTATCAGTTCCATCGTCTTCGCTACCGGTTTCCGAAGAGCGTCTTCCGCATAATCCAAGATTCCCTGTCCGATCTCGTGGAAACTCAAAACCTGCTCAGGAAATAGCTACAACGGCTGCACCAGCTACAGATACCCCGATTACTCGTATTCGAGCGAATAATAATAATGGTAAAAGTAGCTTTGTACCTACTTTCTGAATTCTATTATTTCTAATGATACCGTGTAATTTACAAAGGCCCACACCAACCAGGTTTGGATTTGGTGGACAGCAATGCTTTTAGAACTCATTCTGGCAATGGCCAACACGCACAAGCTACTTCACCGAGACATGAAAGTCACAGAGGTAAAACATAAATATCTGACTACAGACTAATAATTTATTAATGACTAAATATTATACTATATTATTTAATAGAAAAATAATTTGTAAATACCTAGGTACGTAGATTGCTATAATATTACAACAGTAAGTAGTACAGTATCTGGGTTATAGTAAATTATGTGGAAATTCTTTTCGTTTAAGGTGGTTAATTTAGTGGACGAAGGGTTAATTGACCAAAACAATATTTTACTTATTTTTACATGATATTTATAATGGGCTTTGAAGGGCAATCCAGTTTATACTATTATACTGCATAATATATGGGCGTGTTTCTAAAAACTAATCTAATATTTATACTTTTGTACAGAACAAAATGTTTGTTGTATTTTAATAATTATTAAATTACCATGTATAGTGTATACGTGTGTAAATGAGAATTTGTGAATGAGTGTGGGATAATATCTAATCTCAAAGGCCAATTGGATTTACCAAGACGAGGCGGCTGTGCGAGGTTAAAAATGGCGAAAATACATATTTTCAGATGCTGTGGTACAAACGACCGCGATGCCAGCAGATCAAGTAGCAACTATTAATAACGCTTATAACACTCAGCTGACAGAAACAGTAGCATCTGTAACAGAGCCAATTAGCTTAGATCGGAATCAAGACAATACCGATGTGGATACTAAGGGGTTATCATTGACGACAGCATTAACCCCCGACGAGGTCGTCACGGTCGTCACCCAACGTTATACCCCAGGTTCGCGACGGACGTTTGCTAATATCAGCTAATCATATTGACATCGAACGTGCTGGATGGCTTTTTTTAACCTTGTATTCGTGGATACATTGCTTTAGTTTTTATTTTATAGCTTTTAAAATGCTTAAGTTAACAATACTTTTAACGAGGATCGTCGTGCTTCAATATAATTACTTGCGGACCTTTATATATTTTAACCGTGGTTGTGCATGATAATTATATTTATATCGTTAAAATACACACTTAACGACTATGAATGAAATTAAAAATGCGCAACTATTTTCAGCTCTTTTACTAACGTTGCGTGTAGTATTGGGTACTTTTGATTATGTTATGATTATTTATCATTAAACTATTATTCAAGTATAGCTTGTATTTTATTACCATCATTGCGATCGGCTGATTGGATCACCTGTTGTTCACGGGTATCAAGCCTCTCCACCGGTTTTTTGGTCGCGAGGGGTTGACCAAGAACCACCAGATAGTTTATGAAACTGGCACGCCAATATCCAATAACACATAATATAATTTTCAAAATCAACTGTCGAGATTAAAAAAAAAAAAATTGAATCCTCTAAACTAAAATATAATTTACTTATGTTAAAAGATAGTTGAATAATCTATTAATATAATGTTAAATTAATATAATACATCAAGTTTAATAATAAACTAATAGTTTTTAAAAATATTTTTTTCTATTTCTGGCGTAATTTTCAAAACTTTAGTCATTAAATTATCATTAGAATTTTAAACTGTTAAAAGTTCTGGTCTTATGATATTTATGTGGCAAAGCACAAAGCAATATGAAGCAATATAATATTTACTTTTGATTTTTGAGTGACAATAAAATTATTTGTCGAATGGGTACTTTGTTCATGTTTTTACTTTTTAAGGTCAGAATACAGTTTGTAACAAAAATTTGAGCTTTATTGCTACTCTAAATATACAAAAAATAACCTAATAGAAAAATTTTAAAATTACCAATATTATTAATGTTTATTGTTACTTTAGGTATCATAAGAAACTTAATAAATACCTACCTATTGTTTTAGTATTTAATCTATAATATAGAATTGTCTATTATACCACAATCATGTTTATAAGACAGATTAAATTGGGAATAATTTCTTATTTACGACTTTCATTAACCATCATCAATCATTAAATTATTTAAGAGGAAGTTACGCTGAAATGTTTTGTTCTTATATAATGCATTAATAAGATTTTGATTAATTTTAGTTCATAATAAATGTAATGTCTATTGTTTTGTTTTTTTTACAAAGCGTTGAAATGCGTATGTAGTATGTATGTAAGTAGTAAGTATGCCGTTTATTACTTAACATACCTACTACCTACATGTTGTTTGAAACATTAATGAATGCGTTATAATGTGACATCCTCTTATATAATAATAACATGAAGTTCGGCATTTATTTGATCGAATTTCGGTACAAAACTGCACTTCCATCATAATTTTCATAAAATATATTGAGTAAACAATCGAATTTGCTATAGGATCGACGGACAAAGGTGCAGTAGATCTGTACGCCATTTTGCAGCAAACCCGAAGCGAAGAAACGGCCAACACAATACTGTCGAGTGAACATTCTACAAGGTTTGAGGACAGTGAAACTCAATACCCAACTACTTTACGACTGGCTCCAACCACGACCACAACTACCACAACACAAGCTCCGACGACCACGACAACAACTACCACCACTACAACTCAAGCACCAGCTCCAGCACGTCAAGCTCCTGGATCTGGGCCTGTTCGTAGCCGTTATCGAGGAGGCGCCGGGGGTACCAGAAACACCGTGACGTCGACTACGACTACGACAACTGAGCAACCACCATCCGAAGAGGTCACGGAAAAACGTAAATTCAAACCTACCCGAGAAAGGAACACACAGGTAATGCAATGATTTATTAATTGTTAACGACAAACGTAACGATACCGCAATCTTGATAGGTACTGCAATTACCAAACTGGGAGTCATGATTAATAACTCATATTTTTTCGTCATATAAAATAAAAAGTGTTCTAAAAATATTTACTTAAACTAAAGGGTGATACATTTGCACATATTACTTTAACTGACTCATTGATTGACGGTTAACATTCTTATAATGCCTTCCAGTAGAGTTTATTATGATTCGTATAATCAGACTATATGAAAACTACATCATTAAGATACCTATTTTCATAATGTATAATAGTTGAAGAATTGTACTTTGTATGGTAAATTAGCATAAATTAACAATAATGCCAATATAACAAGTCACGATATAATTATTAAAGTACCTATCAATGGGTTTAATGTGTAGGGTGTAGGTATAACATAATATATGCACACATGAATGTATGTGTCTATATATTTTTGTATCTTTTTAACATTATTATTTTATATTTTATAGGGATCTGTCTATAGTAAGAGATATCAATC